TCAGGGCTCCTCCAAGGCTCTCCCTGACCAGCCAGCCCACCCCCTTTTACCCCAGTTATCTTCATCAGCCCCAGATGCAGCCCATTTAGAACAACTAGGATTGGGGCAAGGCCACTTATACAACACATAGATTTTACTAGGACTCCTACTATATTTACCCAGTAGACTCTCTCAGTCAATTGTTCATTTTAGCTAGTCTTTTCACAGATTAAGTGATATTTTAATATTAGGGTGCCTTACTTGAGATGTAAAAATTCAAGGTTACAGATTCAAATCACTTAAACCAATGAAGGTACTGAGTAAAACAGTAACTTCTTTTATGTTGTAATTCGGCTAAAAAGGTAGTATTTTATACAAGGGATCATGGCTTGGGTTGAGAGAAATGTTGAAGGTTGCCTTGCTCCAACCCCCTGCCACTGGCAGGGAGACCTTGTGCTGACTAAGTTACTGCATCCCATCCAACTTGGCCTTGAACATTTCTCCAGGGATGGGACATCCACAGCTCCCCTGGGCAACCTGTTCAAGGGCCTCACCACCCTCACAGGGAATAATTTCATCCTATTATTTCATCTAAACCCACCCCCTGTCACTTTAAAGCCATCACCGACACAACATTAAAAAGTCCCTCACCAGCTCTTTTGCAGCCCCTTTAGTACTGGGAGGCTGCTGAAATGTATCCAATGTATTTCTGTAGTTTTGTCATCTGTGAAACCAGAAATTATACCTGATATGTATTATATAGATTGTATTTGAGTAATGAAACCTCCCTATTTTATGATTTTTAGAAAATTTGCAAATATATTTTAATATATTCTGGCCTATCATGAAGAGCTTGAGGCCAAATAGAATTCCTCAGTATTCATTGTTCACTGCTTCAAAATAAGGCTCCAAACTTTAACTCTTATTCGGTGGAATTTGTCTCTTCCTTTATGAACATATCTTGTACCCCAAGACACAGCTCCAAATGGGGGAAACCTACATAGAGCACAGGGTGGCAAAAAATCCTGGACATCAGCTGCTGTGATAGAAATATAAAACATCCAGTACTGAGAGGGTGTTTTGTTAAAATCTGCAGAGATTTTCTGAAAATGAAGACAACCATCAGCCACATGAAATAGTAATCAGTTTCCCACCTCAGATGGGAAAGAAAAATCAGCTAAAAAAATCAAATATAAAAAGCCCTAACATTTCTAACAGGGAGAAAAAGGCAGTGAAAACCTGGTCTAATGCCAAGAATGTGCCCCTGGCACCTCAGACTCTGTGGGAGCCTGAGGGAACACCCTCCCTTGGCAGTGGGCTGAAAACACAGGGCTCAACAAGCACAGGTCACTCCTGGGGTGTCACTGTCACAGACATCTTTTATGATAAATTCTTTCCTTAGGATTTTTTTCTCCTGAGAAGCTGAGAGGTCTCAGGAACAAAATTTCAACAATAATTATCTGCTGCTGTGGAATGCAACAGGTGCATCTGTGATTGGTTTCATGTGGTTGTTTCTAATTAATGGCCAATCACAGCCCAGCTGTCTGGACTGTCTCAGTCACAAGGTTTTTTTCTCATTCCTTTTCTATTCTTAGCTAGCCTTCTGATGAAGTCCTTTCTTCTATTCTTTTAGTATAGTTTTAATATAATATATATCACAAAATAATAAATCAAGCCTTCTGAAACATGGAGTCAACATTCTCATCTCTTCCCTCATCCTGAGACCCCTGCAAATACCACATGTCACCTTTGGGGTCCTGCCCCAACAGCTGGCTGCATCAGCAGGGGACAGGAACAGCCCAGGTGAGAATGCAGCCACAGCCTCCACGTCTCCTCAGGTGATGGATGCACACACACAGGAACACATTCTGAGAAGGGTGGGCTCACACCACTGAAACCTCCTGCTAAAGGGACAGGGGTGAGCATTTACTGGCAAGTTTGAGGGTGGAGGCTGTGGGGGTTGCTATAGGAGTGTGTTTAGGTATGTGAACGTGTTTACTAAGGTTTTGTAAGGGTCTAGTAGTCATCTATCTCTTATATTGCTGCTATTAATCCTGCATGTATAGTTCATGGACTAACAGTTAATTACAAGCTATCAATAAATCAACAAATTACTGCAATTTTAACTTGATTTAAGTAAGGCATGAGCTGTTTTCCCCTTACAAGCAGCAAATGAACTCCTTTGGTGTCTTCTGCTTCACTCTTACATGTAGCTTTCAACTAAACTTACCTATCTCAGGTTTTTATTTTTCTTTTCCTTTTCTTTCACCTAAAAGCACCCAAGATATTCAGGAAACCACACTTGCTTCAGTAATCAGAGTGATTCCAATCAAAGGACTACAATAATTGCACTTCTCCAAAATGATGGCTCCAAAACTTGGGCAGAAATGGACTACATATTTGAAAAGTGCATATTAAATCTTTGGGTTAGACAAATGGAAACTTAAGAGGTTTAACACATATGCTAGCCTTCTAAAAAGTGGCTTCTTAAGCAAGATGCTCTAATGAATTTAATCCCTGAGATCAGGTTTTTGCTTCAGAAAATTTCAATTAAACACCATATGAAACTTGGTGTTTTTCTCCCCCTGCAACTGAAAGATCAGCGTTAGCTCCCAGTTTTTCCAGAAAACATTCAAAGAGTGTCATTCATATTTTTTTAAACAGTGTAAAGAAATACAGCTAAATTTAATTTTGCATGGTTCACTTGAATACTTCTGCTGATGACATTTTTTTAAATTAGAGGTAATGAAGAAGCCTCTCTCATGTTTTAACTTCATAAATTCTTAGTCTTGAAAGTAAGGATCTAATTCCTTGATCCTAAACAGACTTGAATAAAACTACACATTGACATATCTTGTAACCAAAGACCCAGACCAAGCCTAGTCACTGATCTGTGACTCAAACTCTAAAATAAAAACACTCATGTTCATTAAGTGCAACCATGCTTATTCTAAACTTATTTTTATTTTATTTATGGGCTCCTAGCTTTTGATTACTCAAAATAATTATCTCCTTGAATTCTTCTCAGTCTGTATTCAGGAGAAAAATATTCTGTATTATGCATAAAGCTTTTTAAGTTAACTAAGCTTACAAGAGACATTACATCACCTTCACAACCACTTTTCAGGAGTTACTTGCTCTGAAAAAGCTCTCAGCACACAAAGTACTAGGCTAGCAACTGGCAATCCTGTTCTTCATTACCATTTTAGAAAGCCATAAAGACTTAAATCTGAAAAAGAATAAAAATGTTTTAATTAAAATGAAACAGGAGCCTTGTGACAAAAATATCTCTTCATAGTAAACCAAGTGTTTTTGAACTTATTTATTCAAGCAACTAGTAGAAACCAGAAGTAACCTAGACCTCCAAGAAAAAACCCCATAAATGCAGTTAAAAAGCCCCACAAAAGGCAGGTATTCAAACACAGACAGGGAAATTAACACCTTGCCTGCCTGTTACATGTTCCCTAATTCCAACCCACATTCCACCAATGCCATATTTACTACTCCTTACTTTTATTACTCCCCAGACCTTTTTCAAATTAATAGGGGGGGAAAAAGGTGTAGATATCCTAAGTGCCAGGAGGAAAGCTACTTATCTTTTCTCCCTGTTCAGAAGATGTTTCCCCACTACCAAAACACTTTACTATTTATGTATGCCATCTATGAAACATGAAATCAAAGAACTGGAAATCCTTCCTTTTCACCATAACTTGAATACTTCAAAGGAGCACAGTAGGAGCATTTCTCCAATTAACATTTACCCAGCACATTCCACCTCCTCATTCCCTTAACACTTCTGAGTCACAATCACCAGCTCAAGTGACTGGAAATTAACCTACTAAAGCAATGATTTATAAAGTTACATTAATTTGGCATATAACTTCACAGAAACCTATATCTGGGAAACCAGAGATTGCTCCAGAAGCAAGGGAACTTCATTTAAGCCAGAGAGGTCGTGTAGAGTGATGCAGTATCTTGCACTGAGTCCACTGATGGAGTATTAAAAAACAGAAGCTTTCACAGAAACAAGCTCTTGTATTAGATTTAATCTCTAGAGAGCTTTAAAGGTTATCAGACCATTTAGAGTCTCTCTCTCCCTTTTTTCAGCAGAATTATTGTTCTTTTCTAGGAAAAAAAAAAGAGCTCATTTCCCTCAAATAATTAGGGGTTAGGCTAGGGGTTAGGCTTGCAAGCAAAAACAGGACAGAATATTGCTGCCCTCCTTCTCATGAGTTGTACCTTCTCTGCCCATTTCTTATTTAAAGTCAGTTTGGTCAATAAAATAACCCCCCAAACCAAGACTTTGCAGATGGGAAGAGTTCTGCCTACCTGGATGTTGGGTTTGTGCTACACAGAAGTTGCATCATACTCCACCTGGTGGATAATCTTAAAAAAGCTTAGGAAATAAAAAGGCTTTAGCTCCACCAGGATTGATACACCACTCAGATACTAGGATAAAACTTATGGAACTCCATATTTGGTTGTATAGACTTCATCCTTTCCACTTCTCCCCAGCTCCATGAGTGCTACAATCCAGCAAAATCTCTGGGCAGGGATTTTTTCTAAACCTCTCATATTAATGGGTCATAGTTGCAATTAATATCAATTTCTGGTAATGCAGTTATAGACAAGAAAAGTCATAGCTCCATGCACAGCTAAAGAGAAAATTACTCTTCTTGCTCTTTGCCTCTGACACAGAAAACTGCAAAGTAATGTGTAAATGTAATTTTCAACTAGCATTTTGATAAAGTACCACTTACTTCAAATTTCTTAAAGTAACTTTTTACCCATACTTCCCAACTCAAAAACCATAATAATTAGTATCTTTGTATTTGCTGATAGTTTCTCTTATAGGATGTCTCATAAAGACACTTTTACTTTTATAATACACTATTATTTACTTTTATAATACACTATTATTTATTATGAGCTACTATCCTGGAGAAATAATTCCAAAATGCATTCAAGACATGTAAACCATACCTGGAGCAACCTGTGATACTGAAATGCTGAAAGAGGCATTATGTTTGAAAACAGTAAATTTAATAAAAAGTTGAGAGTTGAATTACTCTCTCAAAGACTTGAGAAAGCAAAATGTTCAACTATTTACCTAGAAATAAAAAATGAACACCATTTCACACAGATAATGCTGTGGCACAGTACAAAAAGCTCTATAGTGGATACTTTATTATCATTTCAGGATGTCATCACTACATAAGCACAAGTGAAGACTGTCTGCAATTAAAACTTTTATAGAAGTTTCAAGACAACTATTATTTCTGAAGAACAACTATTTTTTTCCTCTTTTAAGAAGTCCTTCTATTTTTGCCAGGTCTCCAAATGAAACTGTTGCAGAACCTCGCTGGGCTGGTTTTGCCTAGGGAAAAGGAAAAAAAAAACATATAGGGCAAGTTTTAAATAAAAATGTTTTGTAAAAAGCTTTTAAAACATCACTTATTTAAATAGTAACTTCAAAGAGAAAATAACATTGCATTGACATTGACATTACCTGTGATTCATGGTATTTCCAGCCAATCATGTAGTAGATCTGAAAGGTGGCAGGTACAGAGCCATTGCTGTTCCCATACATTTCTGTTAGGGCAGGAAGGGAGAGAGAGAAGGTACAGGATGTCAGCCCTAGGAAACACTCAGCTCTCAGAACATCATACTCATCATAATGACTCCTGGTGAAAGATTTGGGACAATAAAAATATCTCACACTGGTGCATCAATACAGTTCAAATCCTGGCATTATAATTAAGGTTAAAAATAGCTTATGATAATGGTATTTTTTCTCAAGTATTTGGTTTTTTTGGTTTTGCTTTGGGCTTGTTTAGGTTTTTGGGTTTTTTTTACAAAAAGGTCAAAAAAAGATACAGAAAAAATGTTCCTAAAGTCATTTCAGATGAACTCATTAGTCGCAAATACTGACCTTGGTATATTGCAGCAGCTGCCAGCATTGTCTCCCTGTGCAGCAGAGGTTTTCTATTCCAAGAGCAATTACTCTCCCCCATACCTAAAAATATGTTTTAGCTTTAAGAAAAAGAAGATATTGCACATGCCATGAGTTAAGTGTCATGCACTAAGGACACATTCTTACAAAACCAAAGTACAGAATCCTCTGCTATTCACTGTAAGAGAGAACATATCACAGATCATTAGGTGAGTTTCTTATGTGTAAGAAACTAGAACTTTTAATTCCTATGCTTTGCAATTTACAGTTTGCATTGCTAGGAATCATTTCAAATTATTCCTTCACCAACCTGAGTCTTTGACCATTTAGGCTTTTAAGTATAACTGATTTTAAGAATGAGTACAAAGGGTTTATTCAGACACGACTACACTGTTTTAACAGATAATAATGAAAATTACTAGTCCAAGAAATTTAAAAGACAAAGTAAAGTAACCACAATTCTAATCCTTTTAACCACTTACTGCATCTGAATGTTTCTGCTCAATAACAGTTGCCTTTCCATTAAGGAATGGCTCCATACAGCAGTGGATCCAGATAAGAAATGTCCTGAGCTGCTGTCAGTAACAAACTGCATGTGACTGACTGCTTTACAATCCATGGCAAATGCAATCAGAATATTAACAAAATCATTACTCAATTGTTGGCTGCTCCTCAGCATATTCTAAATTAAGGATGTATTTACTCTCATTCCAAAGCAGTTTGCTTATTGCCCTGCTAATTAGAAAGGCTCACAGGAAAAGTCAGTGTGTGGGATATGGGCTTGTCTCCCTTTTAGGGCTTTTCTGCACCTTACACTGAACAGGCTCATGCAGAACAGGAACTCCAGGGAAGCAGAACATTCACAGCAGAGCATGAAGTAGCAAATCTTTGACTTGTGCTTCCCAACACAAACCTCCTGACAGGCATAATCTCCTGACTCACTAGATAGCAGGAAAAAACCTTAACGCTTCCCCTGCTGCATATAAAATAAAATTCATTTTTATTTTTTTAAGAAAGAAATTCTTTGTGATTAAAATGGTGAAATGCTGGCTCAGGTTGCTAAGAGAGGTGGTGGATGACCCACACCTAGAAACATCCAAGACCAGGTTGGGTGGAGCTCTGAGCAGCCTGATCTAGTTCAAGATGCCTCTGCTCTCTGCAGAGAGTTGGACTAGATGGCCTTTAAAGGTTCTTTCCAACCCACACTAGTTAGTCTATGATCTGGAGTTAAGAAACACACAGTAAAACAGTTCTGTGTCTGGTGCACTGATACAGAAAACATTTGTTTCCACAAAGAATATACTTGCCTTGTAAGTCTTCCATAACCTCAAATAACCCTGGGTAGTTCACTTGGATTTCATCAGTATCCTGGAAGAATTGAGAAATTCAATTTTAGAACACATCAAACTAAACCAACAGCATTATTTCAACCTTGCTGTACTCCCAAACTATCCCCTGCCCATTATTGGATTTGCAGGGTTCCCAGACAAAGGAAGGAATGATGAATCTGACTTTATGTTCTTAGAAGGCTAATTTTATGATTTATATTTTATGATACTATATTATATTTAAAAATATTAAACTAAACTATACAGAAAGGATACTTATAGAAGGCTAAAAATATACTAAGGAAAACTTGTGACTCTTTCCAGAGCCCAGACATAGCTTGACCTTGATTGGTCATTAAGTCAAAACAATTCACATGAAACCAATGAAACAACCACCTGTTGGTAAAAAATGTCTAAACACATTCTAAAGCAGCAAAACACAGGAGAAACAAATCAGATAATTATTGTTTTCCTTTTTCTTTGAGGCTTCTCAGCTTCCCAGGAGAAGAGTCCGGGGCAAAGGGATTTTTCTAGAAAATATGACTGTCACAGCCCATGGCAGGAGGGCTGGAACTAGATGGTATCTAAGGTCCCTTCTAACCCGAACCATTCTACAATTTTATTCATCTGCCTCTTCTGCTCAAATCATGTACTACTTCAACATTTCTAAAAAGTTTTGCTTAGTAGCTCAAATGCAATCAAATGAATTTAAATGCCATTATTTTCTTCTTGGTTTTAGAAGAAAGAGCAAGTGTCTAGAATTTTTTCACGCAGGTCTAATACTCTCTGACATTTCTTCAAGAAAACCATCCAAACTCTACTGGGCTGTGAGCCAAAGATACACTTCAGTGTACACTACAGTTGGTTCCATTAATTACCACATAGCCAAAACCAGTGGCAGTCCAGGCTATTTCTGCAGCCTGTTCAGTGAGGTGCAGAAGGAAGCAGTTTGTCATTACTACATTAGCAAACACTGATTTTCATATTCCAGCAGCTCTGACATTCTGGAGTGCTCTCCCTGATGGCTCTCTTACTTATAATTACCACAGTGAGGGTGTTAAAGCCAGCCCTGGAGAGGAGATGTCCCAGATCAGCAACAGCAGTGAAGGGTGACACGTGAGGAGAGAAGCCCCCTTCCCTCTCCAGCTCAGCCAGCTGCAGGGAGCAGCGCAGCTCGTACAGGGTGTCCCCCCCAAACATGGCTCCAATGAACACTCCATCGGGCTTCAGCACCTGGTGGATCTGCAACACACAAACACACACAGGCCTTGGCTGGGGATCACATTCTCTGAGCACGGGAGAAGCAAAGAATGATCAAGATAATTCTTATTGCATTTACTGCTCCTGCATTGTTCACAAGTGGAATGGATCATGGAAGACGACCTGAAGGGAATTGGTAATTGGATTCTGGTGTGTTTTGATTAATTGACCAATGGAATTCATTTTTGTGTGTGTGTTTTGGGACTGTTGACTGACAGTCACGAGATTCACATTCTCTGAACCTGGGAGAAGCAATGAGAGAGGCAAAGAATGGTCAAAACAATTCCCATCTCATTTACTGCTCCTGTGATGTTCACAAGTGGAATGCATTCTGGAAGATGGTTTACCTGAAAGGAATTGGTAATTGGATTCTGGTGTGTTTTGATTCATTGACCAATTGAATCCATTTTTTGTGTGTGTGTGTCTGTGTGCATGTGTGTCTTTTTGTGTTAGGACTGTCAGCCGACAGTCATGAGATTCACATTCTCTGAACCTGGGAGAAGCAGTGAGAGAGGCAAAGAATGGTCAAAACAATTCCTATCTCATTTACTGCTCCTGTGATGTTCACAAGTGGAATGCATCATGGAAGACTGTTTATCTGAAGGGAACTGGTAACTGGATTCTGGTGTGAGTGTTTTGATTCACTGACCAACTGACTCAATGTGTGTGTGTGTGTTGGGACTGTTGGCCAACAATCACGAGATTCTGTGCAGTTGAGTGCTTGGCAGATTCTATACTATATTATATTACTTCCAAACTCGGCAGTTTAGATGTAATATAGAGGAAAAATATAGTTAAAAAAATTTAGTTAACTAAAAAAAATTAAGTTAGTGAAAAAAAAAAAATTTCTGTCTTAAACAAGTATTTGCTTTATTCCAATACCAAAAAGTCTCAGTCAATGCAAGTAACGGCAAGTGCTAACCTAGAGTATTAAAAAACAATTTCTTACCTCTTTGAAAGCTTTAGGAAGATCATTCACCCAATGCAAACTGAAATAAGAGAAGTGTACATTTTACAATTTCAGATTAAATCAAAATTAGGCAATGCCAGTAACTACCTAATTAACTAAGTAAGCTTCAGGAGTCAAAGCCACAAACTGATTTCTGAAGTTGCAACCATGCTGAAACTCCTTGAAACCGATACCAAAAAGAAGAGCAGTTTATCTACAAAGCACTTCTTTTTGGTGAGAAAACACAAATCCTGGACACTAGTTTGTCTCAATGCAGGAAAGAGAGAAGCTCCAAGTGTTTTAAGGAAATCAAACAAACAAAACAGGAAGAACCACCAGGACAGCAGTTTTTTCTAGTGCATGCTTGTTGTTGTTTTATTTCTAGAGTCCCAGCTCTCAGGCTGCCACAGCTCTCAGCTGTCCTATCTTCTTGTTATTATATTTCTAGAGTCCCATACCTTCTGGGTGGTTTTCTCACACACAGCTCTTCACAGCAGTGCTGCTTCTTCATCAGGGCTCCTCCAAGGCTCTCCCTGAGCAGCCAACCCACCCCCTTTTATCCCAGTTACCTCCATTACCCACAGCTGCTGCCCAATTAAGGACATCACAGCTGCAGCCCATTTAGAACAGCTAGGACTGGGGCAAGGCCACTTATACAACACAGATTTTACTAGGACCCCTACTATACATGCTCATATTAACTATGCAAGTACTTTTCTTATTCCTTTTAACGGACTACTAATCTTTTTTGGATTCATCTTCTTAAAGATACTCTGAAAAGAACATTATTAACAACTTAACCAAAACAAATAAATTATGAATACATACCTTAAGCTGCTGACAACAAGATCAAATGTATCTTCTTTGAAAGGAAGGAATTCCTCATCAGCTACAACCTTGATCGTTGGGATTTCAGATTCTATAGCATTTTTCTAATGTTGGGTTGGAAGAAAAACAGCTCATTAAACCTCACTTCTTTTGCTTCCCTGTATTACAGGACTGAAGCACTTTAGCATTCAAAAGGCTACTTACTAAAGCATTCTCTGCAATATCAACTTGAATAAGTTTTTCAACTGTTTCCTGAAATAAAAATTTAAAAGTCTATTAAATACGTGAATTATTTTGTAAATGGACACGAGTCATTTTTTGGCACACCTATATGAACAAATTAGAAAGAATCCTTCCCACTCTTGATAGAAGCTTTATATAAAACGCAAAGCCCTTTTCCCACCCAATGTGGCACCTGCTCCCAGGGAGAACAGCTGAGGCAGAAGTGGTTACAGAAAACACATTCTGTAGTTTTAGACGTAAGTTTAACTAAACATAAACCATGGAAGCACCTTTACTTACAGAGTGGGTCATGAATGGTAAACTGTTAATGGCTTCAAAGCCTCCACAATGACACTTCTCTTTAGCAACTGTGGCCAAGAGTCACCAAAAAACCAGGCATATTCCTACCCAAAACTAAAATTTAATTGCATCACAAGAGATAATTTTCCTTCCACATTTGTCCAGTTTTCAGCAGCACTAAGAACAGCCTCTACAACACACGGCTTTGAGCTACAACTACAGGTATAGGGCTGGGGGAGAGGGGAAGATTTACCTCATCAAGACTCAGATGATTGTTTTAAGTTGTGACAGAGCCCTATTTGAAAGGGAGGCACACATATGAACTTTCTTTTAACACTTTTAAGTATGAAGAAACAGTACCTTGGTTAAGTGCTGAGCTATGTAACCTCTTCCAGAGCCAACATCCAAAGCCAGAGGAAACGTTCTAAAGGATAAGATCAGGGATAGAGAACATAAGCAAGTCTTAAAATATTTTTTAGACTATATTAAGTTTCCCCAGCTAATCTCTAAGGGCCTTACTGAACTCAGCCCACCAAGCATCCTTTTGTGGTACCTCGGGGAAAGGGCTCAGCATCCAGGGATCTCCCCAGGGATAAGGGGAGGGCTGGGGACATGGCAGGGCTCACCTGGTGATGTCAAACACCCGGTCCGCGATCCTGCCGCCGACCTGGGGGAAAAACTGGTGGTCAGAACTACAGGATAAATGCGGCTGCAAAAGACCTCTGAGATCACCAAGTACAACCTATTAGTAACCAGCACCTTGTCAGCTGTGAGAAATAGTTACTCGCTTTTCATAATTTAGAAAGGTTCATTAAACCTTATCAAAAATACAACACGAGACTGAATAGAGAAAAAGGTTACGGCGCTGGAAGTAAAGGATTTTCCCCACCCTGTGCTGACCCATACAATGAAGGTTTTCCCTTTTTAACCCTTTAACCCCTTGCAAAGTTCTGTTCATCAACCCCTTCTTCGCTGGAGAGAGGGGTGGAGGAGCGGAGATCTTTTCCTCAAATCCTGATTGGAGCTCAGATGTCGCCATAGTGACAAGCCAGCCGTCCCAGATGTCCCAACCCCGGCTGTCTCTTGAAAACCATGCGAGGGGTTAAAACGTAACTATAAACCTATAAAACTTTTCTTAACCTATATAGATGCTATTTGTCTGTTAATTGTGTATAGTAGGAGTCCTAGTAAAATCTATGTATTGTATAAGTGGCCTTGCCCCAATCCTAGTTGTTCTAAATGGGCTGCAGCTGTGATGTCCTTAACTGGGCAGCAGCTGTGGCTGACGAAGATATCTGGGATAAAAGGGGGTAGATTGGCCGGTCAGGGAGAGCTTTGGAGGAGCCCTGATAAAGAAGCAGAAACAACACTGCTGTGAGAAAATCACTCAGAAGGTATGGGACTCTAGAAATATGATAATAACAATATAACAACAACAATTGTGAGAGTCAATCATCGCATTACTCATCTATCACATCAACTAAACCATGACACTGAGTGCCGTGTCCAGCCTTTCCCTTAACACCGCTAGGGACCACCACCTCCCTGGGCAGCCCATTCCAATGTCTGATCACTGTTTTCTCTGAAGAAATTCCTTAAGTCCAACCGAAACTCCCCCTGAGAAAGCTTGAGACGATGTCTTATCCTGCCGCTGGCTGCCTAGGAAAAGAGACCGACCTCCACCTGGCTACAAGCTCCATCCAGGGAGTTACAGAGATTGATAAGGTGACCCCTGATCCTTCTTTTCTCCAGGCTGAACTCCCCAGCTCTCTCAGGGCCCTGTGCTCCAGCCCCGCTGCCCTCCTCTGGCCCCGCTCCAGCCTCTCAATATGGTCCCTGAGCTGCGGGCCCAGACCCGGCCCCAGCACTCGACGTGACCGCGGTCCCGCACCTCCTCCCGCAGGTAATCGCACTTGGCGGGCTCGGCCTGCAGCGCCGCCCAGTTCTTCTGCTTCCGCTTCAGCCGCCGGTCGAACGGGTTCAGCGCGCCCGGCGAGGCTCCGGCGAGAGGAGGAGGATGAGGAGGAGGCGAAGAAGCGGCGTTGGCGGCGGCCCTTGCCGGCAGCGCCCAGAGCGAGCGGCACCATCGCGCCCGCAGCGCCGGTCGCGCCAGGCCCCGCATCGGCCCGGCCTCCGCTCCCCTCCGCGCCTGCGCTCGGGGAGCCGGGTCTGTCCCGCCGCGGCCGCCGTAGCGCCGCCGGAAGGGGCCGTGCGGTGAGGGCGGCGTGCGAGCAGCGCCGAGAGGGAGCGGCCGCGCCGTGCACGGCCGGTGTGAGCGGGGCGGCATCGGGGCTACTCCTTGCGGGCACCGGGCACGGCCGGTGTGAGCGGAGCGGCATCGGGGCTCCTCGCTGCGGGCACCGGGCACGGTCGGTGTGAGACGAGCGAACCCGGGGCTCCTCTCTGGGCTCGGGTGTGGGGGCTGAAGGCGTTCTGGCGCACCCGGTGCTGCTGGCGGGTTGTAGTTGCGGTGCGCACTGGGTTAATCTCGGGGAAGGTCTGGTGAGGAGTCACGGGGGGATGTGTCTGAACCTCAGGTGTATCGTGAGATCATAGAATGGCCTGGATTGAAAGGGATCTTAAACATAGTTCGAAACTCTCTGCCATAGCTGGGGGCACCTTCCACCAGGCCGGGCTGCTCAGAGCCCCATCCATCGTGGCCTTGAACACTTCCAGGTTTGGGACAGCCCAGCTTCTCCGGGCAACCGGTGCCAGTGCCTCACCACCCTCACAGGGAAGATTTTTTTTTTCCTATCTAACCTATCTAATCTAAATCTACTTTCTGTTAGGTTGAAGCCATTCCCCTTTGTCCTATTACTCCAGGCCCTTGTAAATAGGCTTTTTCCAATTTCTTGTAGGCTCCCTTCAGATGGAAGGCCACATTTAGGTGTCCTGAAGCCTTCTCTTCTCCAGGCTGAACAATTTAAATTCTCTCAGTCTTTTCTCGTAGGAGAGGAACTCCAGTTATCTTGGTGGTGCCTGGACTTGCTCCAACAGCTACATGCTCTTCCTGTGTTGGGACCTCAGGTCTGGACACAGCACTTTAGGTGGTCTCTCACCTGAGCAGAGGGGCAGAATTCCCTTCTTCACCTGCTGTCCCTGGAGCTTTGGGCACAGCCCAGGGTACAGGGGATTTTTGAGCTCCCATTGCAGCTGGCAAAGCAAAGATTTGTGCCTGAGACCGTGGTAGGCACAGGATTGTTTGTGACTTGTTTAAATCTGCTGCTGCATCAAAGCCAACAGGCTGCTAGGTTCCATCAGCCAGAGATAAAGAAGTCATTGTACCACATGGTGCCTGTCAGGTCACATCTGTGTTCAGTTTTGGTTCCTGCTGTACAGAGCAGATGTGGACAGGCTGGAGAGGGTCCAGAGAAATGCCGTGAGGATGGCCAAAGGACTGGGAAGCTGCCATGTGAGGAAAGGTAGAGAGAGCTGGGTTTGTTTCACCTTGAGGAAAGAAGGCTCAGGGGAGACCTCATCCTCACCTTCCAGGGTTTAAAAGGTGGCTACAGAGAAGCTGGAGACTGTGTTTTCACAAGAAGTCACAAGCAAAAGACAAAGGGTAATAGGTGCAAGAGAGGTTCAAGAGGAAATTTTCCTCAATGGGAACATTCAACCACTGGAAAAATTTCCCCAGGGAAGTGGTGGATTCCTGTGGAAACCCAGGGCACAGGGAATATTTCTCTGTCTGCTCTGGGGTGCCCTGACCCCCAGGGAGCACTGACTTTGACCCTCACTCATGGAGAAAGTTTCCTGGAGAGAGAGAGAGAGTTTCCAGAATAGACCAGAATCCACTAAGGTGTGAAATAGATTATAGAGAGTAGTGTAGGTGTATCACTTGGTGAGAAATTTAGGTTTTGAGATTTTTAGTCTGCTGTGGATGGAAGCAAGATGGAGGGCACAGGGTGTTGTCCTGGGTTTCTACTTCATGTTTCTTCTTCCTCCTTCTTTATGGGTTTGGGTGGCATTTTGTAATTGGATGGAAAAGTATGCATTGTGAGAGTTCTTTGGGATCAGTTATTGGGTTTAAGGGAAAATAATCTAGGTGTCAGTTCTTAATTGGATAGTTCAGTCTTAAAACACCTTATAACAAGAGATTGTTGGCCATTTTGTTCATTGCTAATGAACCTATGGTTGTGAGACTGTTTTACTGATAAGAAATAATAAACACCTGAGTCTGAACATGAACTACCATCTCAAGTGCCTTCAATCCAGACCCAGAGAAACCAATAGATTCCCATTTGCAAGATTTGGCAGGACAGGGTGCTGGGCTATCTTGTATATTCAATGCTGTTTCCAGGAAATGTTGGGCCAGGGAATCTCTGAGGTCCCTTCCAACCAGGTGGTGTGTTGTGGTGTTGTGAAGGGTTTTTAGGATGAGGTGAGAGATGAGAATTTGACTTTTAAGTTTTCAGAAGGCTGATTTATTATTTTATGATATCATACTAGAAGATAATGATATATTGAATCTATACTAAAGAAGGAGAAAGGAGACATCAGAAGGCTAGATAAGAATGATAATAAAAACCTGTGACAAATCAGTCTTGACACAGCTGGACTGGGATTGGCCATTAAGTAAAAACAATTCACATGGAACTAATCAAAGATGCTCTTGTTGGTAAACAACTTCTAAACCACATTCTAAGCAATCAGATAATTGTTTACATTTTTTTCTGAGGCTTTTCAGGGGAAAAATCCTGGCAAAGCGATTTTTCATAAAATATCACAGTAACAGTGGCGTGTGATGCCATGAAATTGCCATACATGCTTTTGGTAAGAACTTCTTAGATATAGGTTAGAAATCCAGCTTTGTTAAGGTTTTTATTAATCAGAAATGTTTGTTTTTTTCCATATTGTAGATGTCCAAGTCTTCAAAAATGGAGGAGATCCTGAGCGATGGCCGCTTCAGCTGCGTCGCGAGGGACCCCAGGTTTTGGGAGATGCCTGAGAAGGAGCGCAAAGTCAAGATTGACAAGAGATTCCGAGCCATGTTCCATGACAAGAAGTTCAAGCTGAGGTACACAGTGGATAAAAGAGGGCGCCCTGTTAACTACAGCTCTGCAGAGAACCTCAGGAAGTTTTATGCCTTGTCAGAATCTGACTCTGACCTTTCAGAAAGTGAGAGTAAAGAAATCGTGGTAAAGAAAAAGAAGAAAAAGAAAGTTAAAGGTAAAGGAGAAGGAGATTCTGCAAAGGCCCCTGCTGGTGGCCTCCCAAAGGAGGAGAGCAAGAAAACCCAAAATGGGATGGACCAAACATGTGAAGCAGTGACTAAACTAAGTGACCTTAAAAAAGGAGGAAAAAAAAGTAAATCTAAATTCAGCTTGAAAGAGGACTCACAGGAACCGGTGGTGGAAGGTGATCCCTCTCAGGGAAACAAGGGCCTTGCAGCCAAAGGGGAAAACAAGCAAGGAGGAAAACCCATTTCAATTCAAAACAAGGAAAAGTCTACACAAGGAAGTGCTACCAAGTCAGTCAAAGCTCCCAGGAGGGACCACTCCCTAGGAGGGAAAATAAAAGAATCAGGTTAGTTGTTCAAATAACAAGGAGAATTCAGTTGTGTTCATGTGGATGTTGATACTTTTGTTTTATCCATGGAAGATATTTTGCAAGATTATTTATAAAATAACTGACTGTCTCAGGTTCAGTGCTGCTGAAGGATTGGAGTTGGTCAGCTCTGTATAGAATCAGTTCTGATTTTTCAGATTGTGAACATCCCAGTCCTTTTAATTGTTGGAGCTGAAATTGTTGGTTAGTTAGGAAACTAAAATTTGTAACAGCATATACACTGCTGTGCTTATCCAACTGAACAGCAGATATATGAGCTGATACCATGAAGGCACATCACAGCTTGTGGACTGAAATTGTAAACATGGCAGCACTGAGCCATTAATATTAGGGGGATTAGAAAGAACAGGCTTTAGAAGAAAAACTATTTACATTGCTTGTGCGTGTGTATAGTCTCCATTATTAAATGATTTCTACATGTTGGTTCTGTAATATAAATAAAATAGCAGAATATTTAATTGCAGTGGTGATTGATAGTACAATTGTGGGCCTAAAGAGTAATTAAATTAGATTAGACCAGACAAACAAAAGAGGACATGCTGATGTTTTCTCTTACTTGCTGCTGCATCCTTACACCTTTCAGGAGTCCTCTAAATAGGTATGAAAAAGCCCTGAAGTTTTTCTTTTTGTAAAGGGTCATGTGTAATTCTAACATAAAAATGTATCTAATGTTCATCTTTCTGTGCTCAGATATCTGTGACCAAAGTGTGAAATGTAAAAGCCAGTTAGAGGAAGAAGCCTCTTCAAGTGAAGATGCAGAATTGGAAGAAGAGGAATTAGAAGATGGTGGAGAAACGGGCGAGGAAGAGGAGCCAGAAGATGATGGGGAAATGGGTGAAGATGACAGTGATTCAGAAGATGATGAAGAGAGTGACAGTGGGCCTGATCTAGCCAGAGGCATAGGGAACATTGACACGAGCTCAGAGGATGATGAGGATTTAAATGAGCTCTTTCCAAAGGAGCCAGAGATCGAGCACTCGTGGCGTGAGCTGGATAAAGATGCCCCTCGTGGAGATGAGGTATGTGGAAGGCAACTTTCAGAGTTACTTTTTACACACTTAGCATGTAAAAACCATACTTTGAGGTGTGGAGCAACTTTCCACTTTGCATGTGATAAGTTGCTCCATGACAAACTCAGAAATGTCAGGAGTTCATTATAGACCATCATGTATGGAACAGTTTGTGGAAGTGTTTTTCATAAAGGTTTTTCAGCCTTTTAGTGACAGAATGGAAGTGGTAATTAAATTATCTGACAATGAGAGACTTGCAGTTTTCACTGCTATCTCCTCTTCCCTAAGCACACTAACCTGTACCTATGGATAAGCTGTCTACAGCTGAAAGGACAAAATGGAGTCTTTCAGTAATTGCAGAATTTAAATAGTAGTGCTTTTGTTCATTATTGATTTTTTCACTTTTCAAAAATTTAGTTAACTCACACTTTAAGAAATTAAGGCATCATGAGACAGTGAAATAGGACTTAACATGTAGCACAGTTAGTATGTAAAGAAATCACAGCACTCTGGTGCTGTCACAATAGTGGCAGTGGTTGCTCCTGAGACTAACAATGTTCCATGTTAACAAAATCCTAAATGATGTTGTCACTGCAGTTCTAAATCTGTGATTGGTGTAGTCCATTCTGTGATGCTTCACTATTTATGTCATTTTTATGTGCTCTGGTTATTGATGCTTCTCATCTTTGCTACTTTAAGTGATAAAAAG